ATTGGGTGCTACCCCTCTAATCATTGCTGTTCGTTGTGGCAAGTTGCATGGTGTAAAACATCTTCTTGAGAGGGGAGCCAATCCTTTGAGCAAGGATAATGACGGTCAGGATTCTTTATATCTTGCCTCATCACGTGGCTCAGATGTTCTTGACTTACTGCTGAGTCACGTAGCTAACAGTGAGTTAAACAGCCGGCGATGATTATCTCAGGTTGGTGAGATAAGCTTATTTTATCTTTGCTCAGTCTTCAATGCCAAAATGTAAATTACTGGTTTGTTTGTCCCGCCAATTTTAAAGCCGATCCGAATAAATCTTATGTTCGTTATTGATATTAGGCTATCAGTGGCACGTAGGCGACTTGTATTAAGATATTCAACTTCTTTTTTCAGCAAATTGTTGTTCGTTTCCGTGAAGTTGTCAATAATTGATGTCCTTATAGGGCATGTAGGATACAGGAGAAGTTGCCAGTGTTGGAGATTTTAAAAATAACCCGCTGTGATAAGAGCCAGAAGTGTATGTCTGTGCAACGTTGCCAGCGTTTTTATTATTTTCTTATTGTATTTAAAGGTCTGAAAGTTGACATGGTCTTGTCTACATTTCATAAGTAAATGAATTATTTTTTACTATACACCATTTTTTTTACTCTAGAACACATTGATGTTGATAAAAGCTGTATAGGACACCTAGGCCTGTAATAGTATACATGAAGTAATTTCTGCATTCTGATTGGTTAAAATACAGTTTTCAGGCAACACCAATGCAAGGAAGAAAATAGTTAATTCAGTGAAAAAGCGATAAAAATTTGTTTATAAGGTAATATAGAAAGGAATGTCGAAAAAAATTCCTTTTCATTAAACACTTTGTTTCACAAAACATATGATGACGTTTTGGTTTGAATCAATTCATTTTCACTTAGTTTAACCCTCTTTGCTTCTGCATTATCATGAAAAGCTGACAGGTATGAAAGGTTTGATTGGCTATAAATGAATAAGAGATGACTTGCTTTTTCTCGTGCAATTCAAGTTTGGAATAAGTAAGCATTCGTAATTTTTTCCCAAATACCTCAAATTCCACTCTTCCTATAGTCTCGTGCAATTTTGTCGGCTTAAAAAAAAAATGATGAACGGGCTTATTTACACAACATTTAACTCGATATCGTGAGATTATCTGCGCTAATAAAGAAATGATTATATCACTGAGTGACTCAATTTATAAAAAATTTTCAGGAAGATTTTGCAAGCAAGTTTAGAATATTAGTCAATCGATGAAATCTTATATTACAGAATGAAGGTCTTAATTGTTTGCCAATAGGGACGGTTTTGATGTTTCTATAGTCAGGAAAGGGAGTGAAAAAAATATCCGTTTGATGAAATGTGGAGATAAGGATTAATGATTGTCTAACGAGGGGAGAAGCACGGATTTTAGAGGGAAGGGATGGGATACCAATTTCTCTAAGCCTATGGCTACGCTGGTTGCCTTTCGTGCGCGCAACAAGTTCCGCTATAACGTCCGGTCCGACATTCGTATCTGAAAAGTACATTTACCTAAACGGAAATAATCAAATGCGATATGCATCCAAGAATTCAGTCAACTGCATTAATTTTCGAATAGCCTGAAGGCGGGAGGTTTTTTCTTTGCATTTCTTAGGTCGTGTCGTGTCGCCTCTCTCGCGCGCCGCATTACTTCGCCCGCTCAAATGAAAACACAATAAGTTGACTCCTGTTTTTCAGGATAGTTTTCAAGGGAGCATTCTTCGAATTATCAATTCTTGGAAAGAAGGTCAAATTTATGGCGGTTTCTTTGAATGTGTGGATTGACATTTCTTATTTAACCCTTTAACTCTCAAAAGTGATTAATATGTAACTTCTCCCTATAATATCCTTCCTTTATCCAGCAAACAGGTGATCAGAGTATTCAAGCTTATCAACTAGAAATTGTTATCTTGATCTAGCTCCAAATTCTCGTAACTTATTTGGAAGGAAATGTGTAGCAGCTAGAGGGGAGAATTAACAATCAGGTCCCAGTTGTTCGAAGGTTGGATTGTGCTATCCACTCGATAGAACTTTATCCTGTGAATAACGCAATACGCTTTACTATCACTTATCCGTGGGAGAGCGATTTATCCGTGGGATTAATGTTATCCACCCTTTGAACAGCCGGCCCAGATCTTGGCAATTAAAGGGTTAACTAGGTTACTCGAAAGTTATTCAGGCTAAGTTCATTTTTCGTTGCAAAATTAGCAGTGATAATCTACAAAAAATTACTGAGGCCTGCTTCCTCTAATAGAACGCTTAACCTTACAGAGTGGCATAATCCTAATAAAATTGTGTGATAGACCTGATAGTGTCCTTATTTGTAAAGCACACGATTTTAAGGTAAATATGTTCTGGTTCGAAAGGAAAGCCTTATTCCTCTCCTCTTTCGTTTCACTTTTGACTGAACCCGAAACTATCACAGTGACGGATCTATAGAAAGGGGCCGGGGGGGCACACAAACAGAAACGCCCCCCCCCCCATCCTTAGCTCAAGGTCTGGATCCGCCGTTGCATTGACCACTTTCAAAAATGGCTGCCGGATTAATATTCTTTTGTTTAAATTTGAATTAGTCTTTCTGGCCTCGCTTGAGATGATGTATTCTTTTGAATTTTGTACTGGAAAACGAGGCCAGAAAGGCTAATTTAAATTTCAACAAAAGAATATTAATCCGGCAGCCATTTATGAAAGTGGTCAATTATCCGTTGAGTCAGTAGAGATGGCGACAGGAAAAAATCTTACGTTAACAATTTATCATTTTTCATGTAATATATCAAAAACGAATGTGAGTGTTTCATCTGGGGTTTCAAACACCGAGAAACAGATGGAACCACGAGGCTGCAGGCCGCGTGCTTTTATTATTTGAAGCATTACGTTGACCTGTATGCATGATTCATTGTTTGGTGTAGTTGGTTTGCGACCATGAGCCAAGACGGAGCGGCAAGATTTAGGGAGCCAAAGACGGTTTACGAAGAACTTGCATTAGTCGAAAAGCTATTGCTTCGTTTACTAAATGTAAAAACAAATAAGCGGTAACAATGTTTGGCCAATGCAAAATTTCTCAGTCGGTTATAGCTCCTGTGATCGATGCAGAAGCACTTTTCAAAGACTATGATATACTCAAGATCGCACCGCCTTTTACTAGCATTGAAGAAATAGGTGCAGTAACCTTAAATTACTGGCCTCGCAAGTTTGTGATGGAGGTGGCCAGGAAATTAGGGGAGAAAAATCCACTGAGGACCATTCATGAAACAATATTCTGGTCATTTTTGGAATTGTTGTTAGCGATGTATTAATTATTGAAAATGCTTATTAAATGTGTATTTCGAACTGAGATCAAAATCATGTTTCATCTCAAATCAAAACCCTTAAGATTTTTATCTTAGTGTTCATTGGATATCAAAGTTCATGCATGGGACCCAAAACTGCCTCATTTATTGGCATTTGCCCTCATAAATAATTAGTG